AGAAAAAAAAGAAGCCCACACACACACACAAAGTGAAACCTAGTTCATTAAATATTAAAATTAATACATATACAGTCTTTTAAACCCTTTTTTATAAAACACTATTTTGGATAAAGGATAAAAAATAATAATTAATATTAATGAATAAAACCCTTTTTTGATAAGCATTAATTTTTTTAAAATAGAAATTTGTGTTTGTTGATACATTAAATGAGACATTTTTAGGATAAAAACTACTGTTTGGGGGGGAAAAGCAGGTAATCCAACAACAAAATGATAATTATAAAATAATTATAAAATATAATAAAATGATAAATTAAACAAAAAAAAATAAATAAAAAACCACGGAAATATATCTTTTATTTAATCATTTGAATTATCATTTGATTTTAGCTGCACACCTTGTCCAATAAGTCATAAAAACATTGAACTGTCATAATACCGGATTTTTAAAAAAGAACACAAAATTTTTTAAAAATTTGGGGAAATGATTTCAGCAAAGACCAATAAACACCGGGTTTTACTAATATGGTGCCTTGTATCACAGGGACCAATTAAAAAATTTTATACAGCGGGTGATTTCAATGTAAGATCGGATGCAGGTCACAGAACAGTATAAAATTATACCACACGGCGTCCCAATCATTCATTTGATCTAACCAGAGAAGATGGCACGTAAAAGGAGAATCAAACCCCCAAAAATGGTACCAAAACCCGGAAAAAGGAGGCCAGGTGGGTGAAGAAACCCCAAAGATACACCAAATTGGCTGTGAATCAGGAGGAAAAAAACCATTACTCTCAAAATTTATTCCCGGTTAATTTGGGGAAATTCCCAATTTAAGAACTCGTTTCCGATTTTTCCTTATCCCTTCAAAAAGGTATTGTGGGTCTTAGGCAAACTTTTCCTGCCAAAAAGGTTTCCCTCCCCGGAATTCAGCTTGTAGACGTTCCCGGGGAAGAGTTAAAAACCCCAATCTTGTCTAAGACAAACAAAAAAGGGGTTTTTACGGCCACCAAAATCCTTAAAAAAATACCTTCATAATACATACACCAGAAAGTATATTCTTTTACACAAAAATTTATTTTAAAAATACACATTCATAACAGCCAGTTAAAAAATTTTTATCATATGATTTTAAATTTTAAACCAAAACCTTATTATCATATAATCCAATATTTCAAAGACTGGCCTATCATCAAGAAAAAGTTCAGTTTTTCTGTGTTTAAAGTATAAAACTAGTGTTGGGGCAATTATGATATTGTTGATACATATATTTTATTCTTACATTCAATGGAATATCAATTAAAAGTTATATCAAAAAAAAGAGGCGTTTACATTAATACAGATTGCCACAAAAGTATATAACGGTTTATAAACATTGATAAAATGTTACAGAGGGCTTTTAACACAATTTTTAAAACATTAACAAATTTTTAAGTAGGTTTTTTTTTTCCCCAATGAAGTAGATCAATAAATTTTACCAAAAACCTTGCATAAAAAAAAACATATATATTTTTTTTAACTAAAATTAAAAAATACACATTAGAAAAAAAACATTCATTTTTTGATTCGTTAAATACAAATACACTTTGTGTGTGTGTGTGCGTCTTCTTTCTTTTCTTCCACGACTTTTAAAGATATAATCATATCCTGCACTTATAAGAACCTGTTTAGGGGAAAGGAATTTTGTAAGCAGCTTCTTGTGTTTCATGTGTTATATCTACAACGCACGAGGCTTGTGATAATGTACAGGGTGTCCGACAGATGCATTAAATGCATTGCATTTCAAAAATAAATCTTAAGAGTCCTTGAACAAGTCATCATTTCATTTTCAAATTGATAAAAGAGCTAGCTTTGAATAAAGGAAATGGGGGGGGGGGGGGCAAAAGAAAAACAATATATATATAAAAAAAATGAGTAGAAATCATACAATGAATGTGGAATTTGGAATGGAATTACATTGCTATCATGTCTACATGTATGATAAAAAATAAAATCATATCTGCATTTAATGCATTGATATAGGAAATCATGCTCTCTGTTTCTAAATATTATCATTATCAAATCTCTCTCTCTCTCTCTTCTCTCTCTCTCTTTACAGGAATATATACATTCAAATACTTTTATTTTGTTGTTGTTCAAGAGGGCATGCTGCATTTGAAATTGTTTAACAAAATATAGAATTTGAGATAGAGATACATGTTGAAACATTTTCTAACGACCGTAACTGAGGTATCTTTTCTGAAAATTTTGGTAGCCCTGAAAAGGGCTTTTTTTTATAAGCTTGGATGCAGACTGACAGGGATGCTCAGACTGCTTATTTCTTTGCTGCTGCCTTCTTGGGTGTCTTGGTTTTCTTGGCTGCTGTTTTCTTAGGAGTTTTGGCCTTCTTGGGTTTGGTTGCAGCCTTCTTTGGGGACTTGGGTGTCGCCTTCTTCTTGGGAGATTTGGCTTTCTTGGGTCCGGCTGGTTTCTTGGCTGCTGCTGCTGCCTTCTTCTTAGGAGTCTTGGCCTTCTTCTCACCGGCGGGTGTCTTGGGCTTAGCAGCGGTCTTCTTAGGTTTAGCTGCCTTGGGTTTGGCAACCTTTTTGGCTTTAGGCTTCTTCTCGGTCTTGGGTTTTTCTCCAAGCTTGAAGGAGCCAAGAGAGCAAACCAAGACTTTGTAGTTGGCCATGATGTACTTGAGAATGGCCAAGAGGGCTGAAACGGCGGCGCTGATCATGTCTATGTACTTGCAGCAGGCAGCCATGGCTACTTCGGGATAATGGTTTACTTCTCGGGAACAGCTGGGAATGAAGAAGGCAGCGGTCACTCGCACTTGCTGCTTTTGTTTACACCGAGCTGAGTTCGCCGAGGTGTAAACAAAAGCAGCAAGTGCGAGTGACCGAGCCATTTTCATTCCCAGCTTATAAACCATAAAAAAAAAGCCCTTTTCCAAAACTCCTAAGGGCTACGGAAAGAAGCCTTTGCCAAACCCAAGAAAAGATACCGTCCCTGTCAGAAGGCGACATCCAGTTACAGAGGCTGCTTAAGAAAACAGAAAAGAAAAAGCAGTCTGACATTTCAGGGCTACCATTTTCAGAAAAAATACCCTCAGTTACGGAGTGGTCTGTTCTGTATCTCATCTCATTCTATATTTTGTTAAACAATTTCAAATGCAGCATGCCCTCATGAACAACAAAAAATAAAAGTATTTGAATGTATATATTCCTGTAAAAAGAGAGAGAGAGAGAGATTTCATAATGATAATATTTAGAAACAGAGAGCATGATTTCCTATATCAATGCATTAAATGCAGATATGATTTTATTTTTTATCATACATGTAGACATGATAGCAATGTAATTCCATTCCAAATTCCACATTCATTGTATGATTTCTACTCTCTTTTTTTCTTTCCCCCCCCCCCCTCATTTCCTTTATTCAAAGCTAGCTCTTTTATCAATTTGAAAATGAAATGATGACTTGTTCAAGGACTCTTAAGATTTATTTTTTAAAATGCAGTGACATTTAATGCATCAGTCGGACACTCTGTACATGATCACAGGCCTCTTGTGTTGTAGATATAACACATGAAAGCAAGCAAGAAGCTGTTTTACAAAATTCCTTTCCCCTGATATAGTGCAGGATATAATTATATACTTTAAAAGTCGTGGAAGAAAAGAAAGCAGACGCACACACACACACAAAGTGAAACCTAGTTCATTAAATATTCTAATTAATACATATACAGTCTGTCTAACCTCTTTTTATGAAAACACTGATTCTTGGATAAAGGATAGAAAATAATAATTAATATTAATGAATAAAATCCTTTTTGATAAGCATTAATTTTATTAAAATAGAAAGGTTTGTGTTTGTTGATACATTAAATGAGACATTTTTAGATAAAACTACTGCTCTGTGGGGAAAAGCAGGTAATCCAACAACAAAATGATAATTATAAAATAATTATAAAATATAATAAAATGATAAATTAAACAAAAATAAATAAATAAAAAACCACGGAAGAGTATATCTTTTATTTCAATCATTTGAATTATCATTTGATATCTTAGCTGCACACCTTGTCCAATAAGTCATAAACAATTTTTGACTTGTTCATAATACCGTGATTTTAAAAAGAAGCACAAAATTCTTGCAAAATGTGGATCGAAATGATTTCAGCAAAGACCAATCGAAACACGCTGTGCTTAGCTAATCATAAGGTGCCTTGTATAACACAGGGACATAAAAACATATTTACTACACGCGCGGTGATTTCAATGTAAGATGATCCGCAGGTCACAGAACAGTATAAAATTATACCTGACACGGCGTACCGAGATCGTTGGATTTCGAATCTGAACACGAGAGAAATGGCACGTACCAAGCAGACCGCAAGAAAATCTACTGGAAGGAGCAGGCCGAAACAGCTGGCTACCAAGGCAGCCCCCAGAGTGCACCGGCCACCGGTGGGGTGAAGAAACCGCCATGGCCAGGAACCCCGGCG